GATGGATACTCACTGAACTTGAAGACCATGAGGGTAGAGATTGCCAGTGATTGTCAGTGGTCATCATATGCGATTTGATTCTCTCTCCTCCTGGGCATGCAGAAGACAACACTAGTCAGCCCTGTTACCCGTAGGCAGGACCTGAGGACTAGTTCTGGTCAACAGAAGTGTATGTGAAGGGGCTGGGTGTAGTGGGCTCACACCTGTAATCCCAGCACTCAGGGAAGCTGAGGCGGGAGGATCACCTGAAGTCATGTGTTCGAGACCAGCCTGGCCAACATGGTGAAACTCTGTCTCTACTAAATATACAACAATTAGCTGGGTGTGGTGGTGCACACCTGTAGTCTCAGCCACTCAGGAGGCTGAGGCAGAATTGCTTCAACCCGGAAGGTAGAGACTGCAGTGAGTTGAGATCATGTCACTGCATTCCAGCCTGGTGACAGAGTGAGACTCTCTTAAAAAACAAAACAAAACAAAAACACAAAAAAAAACCCCACAAAAATCAGCCCGGTGTGGTGGCATATGCCTGTAATTCCAGCTACTAGGGAGGCTGAGGCAGGAGAATCGCTTGAACCTGGGAGGCAGAGGTTGCAGTGAGCCAAGATCATGCCATTGCACTCTAGCCTGGGTGACAAAAGCAAAACTCCATCTCAAAAAAAAAAAAAAAAAGAAGTGTGTGTGAAGGGATATTTAAAGAGTGTCACTTCTTCCCGGCTGAGGCAGTAAAATGCTCCATAAGTTCTCCAGGCTCTTTTTCCTGCCACAGCAACTGATAGCCCCAAGCTCCAGTGTAGCCATCAGTGATGCAGCCTGGATCCCGGAGTTACCGCTTGGAAGAGAGAGGCCCTGGAGAGCCGCTAGCCTCATAATGGACTTTGCACGAATGAGAAGTAGTTTTTTAAATGCGAAGCTGCTGAGACTTTGGGATTTGCTTGTTATCACAACAGTTTGTTTTGACCTAATACAATGTTAGAATGTACACAGGAAAATCAGTTCAATATTTTACTTTTGGGTAATGTAGAGCTCTAATTTCAAATAATTAATTTGGTTATCTGTCATGCATTGAAAGTTATTATAAATGACATTTGGCTCTTTTTAAAAAATTGAGTCAAACAGTAAAAGCATGCCTCCATACTGGAACCGTGTGAGCTAAGAAAGCCTTCTTCTAATGCCTTCAATGTGCTGGGTGCGGTGGCCCATGCCCGTAGTCCCAGTTACTCAGGAGACTTAGATGGGAGGATCCCTTGAGCCTTGGCAACATAGCAAGATCCCATCTCTTTAAATACATACATAAATAAATAAAGCCTCCATTGGCAACTACTTAAAAAAGTGAGAGTAATTTGGCTGCCTAGGTTCTGGTGGTATGTTCAAAATCAGTCATACCACCGTATAGCTATAGATTTATATTCATACATATTTTTTAGATGTTGACAATTTATTCCAAGTAATTTAAGATATTCAAGCTAATCCAAGTAATTTAAGGTAGTCAAGTTCATAGTGTAGTCAACACCGTATCTGATAAATCTGTTAGAAAAGTTACTAATATTGCTATCATTTATTGACTGACTCCTAACACACATTATATCTCCTTTTATATACATTCTATCTAAACCTCAAAATACCTCCACTGTATTAGCTAGGGTTGTGTGGAGAAACAGAACCCACAGGATATTGAAGGGTCTGAAATGCGCCACTGTGACATAAAAACTATTTTGAGCCAAAGTGATTTGAAAAGTCAACAGATGTATGCTCTGAATTTCCCCCATCTCCCTCAAAGCAGAGCTCCAAAAGAACTCAACTGTTATAAATCTCCTCCCTGAGAGGTTCAAAAACAGGGAAGATGGACTCCTCACTGGAGACAGAGGAAGTCAGCACCACAGCTAAACAGACATCGTCACACAGCCATTATCCCTCCCATCTATTCTCTAAGAATCCATTTATCTTCCCTAAAAGTCATTTGTTTTCTCTAAGCATCCTTTCTCTCCCCACTCTCCCCAAGAAATCATTTGTTTTCCCTAAGAGCCTTTCTCCTCCTCCCCTTCCTCTATTAAGATGGTATATTTTCCCCAAATTCTGTCTCGTAGTCACATTATTTTTGAACCCCCACCTATCTAAGTGAATTAAAAAACCTGTCTTTTTCTCTGCTAATCTATCTTTTGTCAGTTTAATTTGTAGGTCTCCGGATGGTCACAGTGGCTAACCCCTGTAATCCCAGCACTTTGGGAGGCCGAGGTTGGTGGATCACCTGAGGTCAGGAGTTTAAGACCAGCCTGGGCAACATGGTGAAACCCTGTCTCAACTAAAAATACAAAAATCAGTTGGGCGTGGTGACGGGCACCTGTAATCCCAGCTACTTGGGAGGCCAAGGCAGAAGAATCCCTTGAACCCAGGAGGTGGAGGTTGCAGTGAGCCAAGATTGCGCCATTGCACTCCAGCCTGGGCAGCAGAGTAAGACTCTGTTTCAAAATAATAATAATAATAATTTGTAGGTCTCCAATAACTGAATGTAGGAAGGTGGAGGATGCGTTTCCTCCCTGACAATGTGTGAGTGTACACATATATATCTCTCTCTGAGAGGGAGAAAGAGCAAGAGAGAAAGAGAGAGAGAGAGAGAGGGAGGGAGGGAAGAAGGAAGGGGGTGAGAAAAAAAAAGGGAAAAGGAGAGAGAGAGAGAGATTTAATTTAGGGCTTTGTAAATCCAAAGTCTGCAGGGTCATTTAGCAGGCTGCAAACCAAGGGAAGGATTGCAATTTGAACCCAAAGGTGGTCTGCCGGCAGAATTCCCGTTTCCTCTGGGGAGGTCAGTCTTTTCTTATTAAGGCTTTCAACTGACTGGATCAGTCCTATCCACATTATAGACAGTAACCTGCTTTACTCCAAGCCTACTGATTTAAATGTTAATCTCATCGAAAAATCTGCCCAGAAATATCTCAATGATATTTGACCAAATATCTTGGTACCGTGGCCTAACCAAGTTGACACATAAAATTAACCATCACACCCATAAACCCCCCCCCCCATTTTATATATGAGGATATTGAGACTCAGGGAAAGTAATTCAATTGCTTGAGGTAAAATGACCAGTATATAGCAGAGCCGGGACATGAATCTACGGCTGTGAATCTAAAGCTCTTGATTTTCTCGCTACACAGCACATTCACTCACTGCCAAGGGTCTTTTCACAGGCCAGCTTTTACTTCTTTTTTCTTCTACAGTATCTTTTTTCTAGAGATAGGGTCTTGCTCTGTCACCCACAATGGAGTACAGTGGCATGATCATAGCTCACTGCAGCCTTGAGCTCCTGGGCTCAAGTGATCCTCCCACCTTGGCCTCCCGAGTAGCTGGGACTACAGGCATGCACTGCTACACCTGGCTAATGTTTTTATTTTCCATAGAGGCAGGGTCTCTCTATGTTGTTCAGGCTGGTCTTGAACTTCTGGGCTCAAGTGATCCTCCCACCTTGGCCTCCCAAAGTGTTAGGATTACAGGCATCAGCCACTGTGCCTGGCCTTCTAAAATAGCTTGATCTTATTCTATCATAAACAATAAAACTTGGCTTCAATTTTAACTGTACTTAACAGTTGGCAACATCATATGTGCTCACTTAAATATTTTTTGAAGGACTGAGGATATCCTATGGGAGGCACTTGAATTTTCCAGAGCTATGACCATTAGTACTGATAGTTTTATGTTTTTATTTCAATTATTATTATTATTACTATTACTATTATTATTTTGAGATGGAGGCTTGCTCTGTTGTCCAGGCTGGGGTGCAGTAGTGTGATCTCGGCTCACTGCAACCTCCGCCTCCTGGGTTCAAGCGATTCTCCTGCCTCAGCTTCTCAATTATCTGGGATTACAGGTGCCCGCCACCACGCCTGGCTAGTTTTTGTTTTTTTAGTAGACATAAGGTCACCATATGTTGGCCAGGCTGGTCTTGAACTCCTAACCTCAGGTGATCTGCCTACCTTGGCCTCCTAAAGTGCTGGTGTGACCCACCCTGCCTGGCTCAGAGGCATGAGTCACTGTGCCCAGACTATTTTAATTATTTTTTAATAGATAACATACTTAACAGTGTTAAGTACATTCACACTGTAGTGCAACCAATCTCCAGAACACTTCATCTTGTAAAACTGATAATTCATACTCATTAAACAACCTTCCATTTCTCCTACCCTCAACCCCAGGCAACCACCATTCTATTTTCTTTTTTTTTTTTTTTTGAGACAGAGTCTCACTCTGTTGCCGAGGCTGGAGTGCAGTGGCACAACCTCTGTCCTTTGGGTTCAAGCAATTCTCCTGCCTCAACCTCCGGAGTAGCTGGGATTATAGGTGCCTGCCATCGTGCCTGGTTAATTTTTGTAGTTTTAGTAGAGATGGGGTTTCACCATCTTGGCCAGGCTGGTCTTGAACTCCTGACCTCGTGATCCACCTGCCTTGGCCTCCCAAGTGCTGGGATTACAGGCGTAAGCCACCACACCTGACCTACTTTGTGTCTCTATGAATTTGACGACTCTAGGTACCTTATATAAGTGGAATCATGCAATATTTGTTCTGTTTTATGGCTGCATGTGATTTTAATACATTTATTTTCTTAACATAGTTCAAGATGCACAAGAAAATAGGATGATAGAGTGAAAATCCTTATTTGCATCCCCGCCCCTGGCCCCTAATTTCCCTTCATCTGACATAACCAATCTTGTAAATTCCTTGAAATATTCTATGCAACCATTTGAATTATGTATAGTTCTCTTTTCTTTTTTTAATGAAAGCTATTTTGCACCTCGCTTTTCCACTTTAAAATACATCTTGGAGATTGTTCCATAAAAAGTACTCACAGTGTTTGAAAGTATTAGAAATATTTAACCACATAATATGCAAATAAAAATAGGAAAATCATAATACTTAATTCCAAGACTCTGCCACACATCGAAAGCATTCTCCCAATCCCGTTGAAAAATACTGGTGTCAATAATCCTCTTTGTTGCAAGCTAATTTACCTGCATCCTAAACGTTGCTCTGGTTTCTTAGCCAAGAAGAGTCTGCAAATATCCTTTGCCTCCTCTGTGAAGTTATCGTGCTGGAATTTGACCTCGTCTTGTAGAGTTCTTTGCTTTACATCCTCTTTACTGACCTTTTCCTTGTAATCTTTGAATGGTGTTCGTCCAGCAACCATTTCATAAATGCTGCATCCCATGGCAAACCAGTCCACAGGATAGGAATAACTTACCTTTTCCACTAGGATCTCAGGAGCCATGTAACCATTGGTTCCAGCCTGTAGCATCCCAAACAAAACACAAGACAACACAGAACAGACACTAAGGTGAGTGTAGCAGACACTGCTGATTGCCTACCTAATACACATTCTGCTTTCCTTCCCTTGTTCAGGGAACCCTAATTTGTTTGGGGCGGCAAAGTGTCTAACCTGTTCTTTTTGCTGCTTTCCCAGCAGCTTTGAGTGCAGCCAGGGGAGGCCACGTTACCCACTTTGGTCAATGCGAGAGTAGGTGGCTAAGGGCGTCATGAAAAGGGAAGACCTAGCTGCTCTTGATGTGGGAAAATCAGTTACCTCTCTTAGGCTCATCACCTCATCTTTAAGATGAAAAGTTCAAGTGGATGTCTGTAAGATCCCCTAAGCTCTGCCTTTTTAAAAAAAATTCACAGAAAATAGAAAATGAGATGCATATGGTTTTTTAAGGCTGAGCACTTTATTACTAATATTGAACGTTCATATATATATATATATATATATTTTTTTTTTTTTGAGACGGAGTTTCCCTCTTGTTACCCAGGCTGGAGTGCAATGGTGCGATCTCGGCTCACCGCAACCTCCGCTTCCTGGGTTCAGGCAATTCTCCTGCCCCAGCCTCCTGAGTAGCTGGGATTACAGGCACGCGCCACCATGCCCAGCTAATTTTTTGTATTTTTAGTAGAGACGGGGTTTCACCATGTTGACCAGGATGGTCTCAATCTCTTGACCTCGTGATCCACCGGCCTCGGCCTCCCACAGTGCTGGGATTACAGGCTTGAGACACTGCACCCGGCCGAATGTTCATCTATTATCTATGATGTTCCTTACTCTATGTGCTGTGGAATAACATTAACCTCACACAGCTCTGCCTGTCTCGGCACTGAATAGTTAACACTGCCATTTTAATTGAGGAAATTCCACACACACATGAAATTTCATTTAACATAAATGACTATGTATGATAGGCACACTTCTGACAATATACGCCAAATGCTCATTAGATTAAATGTATACATATTCACTTTATATATACACATGTGTATTTATATATAATACATATATTTATATATACTTGCATGTGTGATAAAATACACATAAAATTCACTATCTAAATCATTTTGCAGTATAAGTTCCGTAGTATTAAGTACAGTCTCACTGTTGTGCAACCAATCTCCAAGAACTACTCATCTTGTAAAACTGATGATTTATACTCACTAAACAACTTCCCATTTCTCCTCCCCTCAAACCCAGGCAACCGACATTTTACTTTGTGTCTCTATGAACTTGACTACTCTAGGTACCTCATATAAGTGGAATCATGCAATATCTGTCTTTTTATGGCTGCATGTGATTTTAATACATTTATTTACTCAGCACATTATTTAATGAAATCTACAACACACCTTGCAATTGTAAGGTATACATTTACTTTAGAATTATTTTTTTTTTGAGATGGAGTCTCACTCTGTCACGCAGGCTGGAGTGCAGTCTCCCGATCTCGGCTCACTGCAACCTCTCCCTCCCAGGTTCAAGCTGTTCTCCTGCCTCAGACTCCCAAGTAGCTGGGATTACAGGCACCAGCCTGGATAATTTTTGTATTTTTAGTGGAGATGGGGTTTCACTATGTTGGCCAGGCTGGCTTCAAACTCCTGACCTCAAGTGATCCTCCCACCTCGGCCTCCCAAAGTGCTGTGATTATAGGTGTGAGCCACCATGCCTGCCCGACTCCGACTTTTTGGAGAGCAATATGACAGAGAGCAATGGAAAACAAAAGGTCACACACTGTTCCTGTTTTTCAACCAGATTATTTAACTTTGGATTAGGTACCTCAAAGAAGACTCAGAAGAAAGAAAAATGAATCTATATTGAGATATTCATAATTTCATTAACTCAGAATGGTCACAAACTGGAAATACCCAAAGGCCCATCAATAAGACAATAAACCAGAGTCTATTGTTAATACCAAGGAATGACTGTCACCCACTGATTACAACCATGCATTTCAGTACTTCAGGGAAGGTTGGAGAAGTTGGGTGCGGTGGTATGTACCTGTAGTCCCAGCTACTCAGAAGGCTGAAGTGGGAGGATCCCTTCAGTCAAGGAGTTTGAGGCTGTAGTGCGATAGACTAGCCGCTGCACTCCAGCCTGGGTAACTTAGTGAGACCCTGTCTCTAGGAAGAAAACATTAGAAAGCGTTGAGTTGCCGGGAGCGGTGGCTCACGCCTGTAATCCCAGCACTTTGGGAGGCCGAGGCGGGTGGATCACGAGGTCAAGAGATCGAGACCATCCTGGTCAACATGGTGAAACCCCGTCTCTACT